AAGACTCATTGTTTTTGCTACTAACACTGAGATGTTGGCACATGCATCTCTAATCTGTGTGTATCTGATTATTACTAGTCATAATCGGTTGTAGTTGGATCCTTGGCGCTGGTGTATGTCTATAAAGTCATCGGGTAGATTTCAATGGTAATGTTTATCACCTCTAGTAATTAACATGAGTTAAATTTCCATGCTTCCTCCTCAAATATAATACATTTTAAAAAATTTGTTGATTTTTTTTGTGTGTGTATATCACACAGAACATCCCAAACCATCTTATTCAATTATACACTATTTCCAAAATGGCACCTTCCCATAGCCTCCCTCCCCCCAAAAGAGCACTTTTACTGTGATATCCCTGCTACTGTCTGCTGTGTTGTTGGCACCCCCATCCATTCCCCACTACTGGTCCATCTGGTGAATCTAGTCAGCCTATCTGGAGGTCTTTGTTTTGAAATGACAGCTGTTCTTCATCTAGCAGCAATCAACTGTCAATATTCCTTTAGATAAGATTGGGGTCTGCTGTTCATTTTCCCAGTTCTATGCTGGGTTACTATCTGGGAGTCCCTTGGTCTACCATGGCCAACAACTCAAAAGAAGGGATCTCCTTTCTGGCATTGTTGCTTGTTATGTAGCCTTTAGCTATACATACGGACTCAAAAAATTATATTGGCCCCTTTAATCTTTGGCTATACTTTCCTTTTGGGTGTTTAAGGCCATACAATTGGCCCAGATAAACCAATTTATTTTTACTCTTAAGGTCGTTTGAGGATCTGTTCCTCAGGGGTCACGTGGGCTTGGGAGGAGCCCCTGGTTCCTTTCTTTTACCAGATCTGCCTATGTGAAGATAAGTCAAAGGTCCTACTCAACCATGGCAGGCTTCACTTGGAAGCATGGAGGAAATGTTTCCTCTGTGTTGACCCTCCTCTTTGTAGACTGGACACTGGTTCAAGTCCATCTTGAGGGGTCTCCTCAGCCTCCTTGATCAAGAGGACAGGTGAGCCACCACCATTATGC